AGAAACCTCCTTTGCATCTTGAAGATCATTTGTGGAGCAGTCTTTGATGTGAGGTACAACCTTCACTGCAGTATCGAAAGGTTGTTCATGTCAACGTCCCGGGCACGATTGTTGTGAGTTTGTCTTCTTGCATCATTATCATACACAAAGTCTTTCACAAATTCTTACAGGCTGGAGGGCAAACTTCACTGTAATCTTGAAAGGTTGTTTATTCAGCACACATTTTATCCAACAAAAAGATTTTGAATATCGCTCTATAGTGGGAGAAATCTCCATCGCAAATAACACTTCCTCGGTGCCCCCTCACCATACTTAAGTTATCTTCAACCAGATAAAGAAGTTAATCTCTTCAAGGCTGAATACATGGGGTGCTTTACAAGTTCGTGTGGAAAATGCCCCTCATGAGGGGCAAAAGATTCAAATGCAACAACTAATGAGTTGCCAATCATTATTCTTGAGTATGACTGCAACCATATTTCCAAGTAAACATATATTCCATTGTGACATGTATCATAGTCTCGAGAAATATAGAGCATCTCTGACACATCATTCTAAGCTTAATCAATCCTAGGGGACTTGATTTGACCTTTTCCATCACAGGCTACAGTCATTAAGCAGAAGCTTTGACTAACAGTCTAAGATAAGTAATAAATCTTTTGTGGATTTCCTTTGACTTCTTCCATAACTGGATATGGTTGTTAAGTAAAAGCTTCGACTAACAACCTAGGATATGTCAACCATCCTTAATAGATTTCATATGACTTTGTTTATTATGGGTTAATGTTGTCATGCATCTCTAGTTATGCACCCCAGGATGGGTCTTACATCCTTGATGGATTCTCCTTCAACTATGCTCCAACGCAGGCTATAGTTGTCAGCATACGTGCTTTGACTAACAACCTGTAAGAAAAGTTCTCCAACCATACCTCTAGAAGTTGAGCCCAAAAGATAAGACTCAATGGAAAGATATGGTGCCCCTGGAAGTTAATTCGAAGAGGTAAGACTCAATGGGAAGCTACCATGCTCCTAAAATTTGAGCCAAAGAGGCAAGACTCATTGGGAAGATACGGTACCCCTGAAATTCAAGCCTATGAGACAAGACTTGATGGGAAGCTACCATGCCCTTGGAAGTCGGGCCCAAGAGGCAAGACTCATTGGGAAGATACGGTACCCCTGGAAGTTAAGCCCACGAGGCAAGACACAATGAGAAGATACTATGCCTCTGAAAGACGAGCCCAAGAGGCAAGTCTCGGTGAGAAGCTATCAGTGGACGGGGTCCTCACTAAAAAGACTCTACGAGAGTAAGTGGTTTATATGGTCTCCACTTAATGATCTCAGAAGCCTATAAGCCTCAGAAGACACAGATACATGAAAGACCTTAAAAGGCTACAAGTCTCAGGAAGCATAGGTACATTAAAGTCCTCAAAATGCTACAAACCTTAGGAAGCACAGGTCTATCAAATGCCTCAGAAGGCTATAAGTCTCAAAAGACACCGACACATTTTAATCTCCTAGAAGGTATAAGCCTAAGGAAGCACAAGCCTCAAAAGATTTGCACTCAAGAGGATACAAATCTCAGAACACACAAGTTTGAAAAGGTACTTAATTCTTTTTTATAAAGTGCATGTGCTAACTTTAATTGTAGAATTTTGCACCATTGAGAAGCCACAACAACCTCAGAAGCAACATCAAGGGCGCAGAACAAACAAATCCTTGCCGTGTATAAATGTCATATTAAGCAATTAAAAGACTAAAAAGACCAATATAAACTTATGCAAGGGTCACAACAAATCAGCTCATCTTTGAGTGGAGTCGACATCGTCACACAAAAGTTCTAGCACTTCTCCTAGTCTTCAGAGGGTTTCCAGATATCACTCAACAAAAGGATGAAAATCTTCTCCTCAAAATGAAGCGGGAAAACAACAACATTTCTTCATAATTTCTAGAATGTGCAAGAGCAACACGAGAATCTCCCTCAAAATGTGCGACAATAGCGTGAAAGAAGATCCCTTACTCACTTGCTACGTAGAACGAGGACATCTTTCTGCTGCACTGCAGCTTGAAAGAAGATCTCATTGATTGCCTGCTACATAGGATGATGACAACTTTCTTCTATAACACAATGCAAAAGATCCCGTTGATCGCCTACTACGAAGAATAGGGATGACTTTCTTCTGCAGCGCAAAGCAAAAGAAGATTCTCTTACTCACCTGTTAAGTAGGAAGAGGATGACTTTCTCCTGCACCGAAAAACAAGTAAGAAAAAATCATGATTTGCACATCCCAATTCCAATTTTGCCCCCGCCGTTCCCGTTCCTTTAGATAAGGGAATACCACTCAATTTGTGTAAAAAAAAAAAACTGTAACATGTTATAATATTCATATATATTGATCATGAATTAAAATGTGTGCAACAAGTTTAAAAATTAACATCTGTACAATTTTAATAAAATTAAAACAAAAAAAGTACTAAAATATTTACATACATAACATGTATATCTTATATATTTACACCTCAAAACTTGTATATTTTCATGTATAATTCTTAAAATTTTAACATTGCACTGATAATATCACGATAAATAAATTGATATTTTTGGGCGACAAAGTTGGTTTTGCCCGAAAATAGGGGAAAACTAATACAACTCCAACAATTCATAATACGACACAAATCTCAATGCATGACACGGATCTCGAGGTAAGTTTTTGAGCAATAAGCATTCAAATTTCGATTAAGAGACATCCAAAGTTCTGATTTCAACAAACTTACAGTCAAACTGATCGACTTAATAAGACAGACTCAATGTTACGAACATTGATCCAATCTAAACCAAATCAAATCTTGATCGAACTATTACACTGCTTTTAAAAGCTTTCTACACACATATGGAAGGTCAAACAAAGTTTTGTTTCCGGCGACTTCATGGTCAAATTGAGCGTCTCAATAAGACATATCCAAGGAGCCCAAGATAGCTCACTTTTGACATCACTAAAACACTCAAATGTTCATCAAACACTGTCAGATTAAATGAAATCATCTGAACTGTCTCATCAAAGTGGGTTGTATTCCTGTATTAATTGTACACAAAACTCTATAAATAGAGCCCTATCCCTCTCATGAGAAGGGAGGAGAGCTTGAGGCTTGAGGAAAAGTTTAAAACTTTGAGAAGAAGCTGAAGTCCTGCATCACTCCTATTGTCGTCGAACATCGTTGAAAACCGTCGAATACCACCAATAAACATCGACCACCGCCTACCACCATTTATCGGCCGCCACCGATTGCTATCGATTGTAGGCAGGACTGGGACAACTTTCTCCTACACCACAACGCAAAAAAAGATCTCAGTGTTCACCTGCTACCTGAGACGAGAATGACTTTCTTCTTCTGGGAAATCCTAATCCAAGATCACCTACTAGGCAGAGATGGAGACTCTACCTCCATCCTCATATCCTAGGCTAAAAAATAACTAATATTTATGGCTAAAAGTTAATGCAATCCATTAAAATGGTAATTAAAAAAATAAAATCTATTTTAACTTTCTTGTTCTTCCGATTTCTTGTTTTTGGCCTTCCGTCCGTCGGCTTTTGGCCCTCCACTTTCTTTATTTCAAATTCATTAAAAAAAACAAGTAAGAAAAAATCATGATTTGCACATCCCAATTCCAATTTTGCCCCCGCCGTTCCCGTTCCTTTAGATAAGGGAATACCACTCAATTTGTGTAAAAAAAAAAAACTGTAACATGTTATAATATTCATATATATTGATCATGAATTAAAATGTGTGCAACAAGTTTAAAAATTAACATCTGTACAATTTTAATAAAATTAAAACAAAAAAAGTACTAAAATATTTACATACATAACATGTATATCTTATATATTTACACCTCAAAACTTGTATATTTTCATGTATAATTCTTAAAATTTTAATATTGCACTGATAATCACGATAAATAAATTGATAATATCACGATAAATAAATTAATATCACGATATAATTCTTAAAATTTTAATTTTAATATTGCCCGAAAATAGGGGAAAACTAATACAACTCCAACAATTCATAATACGACACAAATCTCAATGCATGACACGGATCTCGAGGTAAGTTTTTGAGCAATAAGCATTCAAATTTCGATTAAGAGACATCCAAAGTTCTGATTTCAACAAACTTACAGTCAAACTGATCGACTTAATAAGACAGACTCAATGTTACGAACATTGATCCAATCTAAACCAAATCAAATCTTGATCGAACTATTACACTGCTTTTAAAAGCTTTCTACACACATATGGAAGGTCAAACAAAGTTTTGTTTCCGGCGACTTCATGGTCAAATTGAGCGTCTCAATAAGACATATCCAAGGAGCCCAAGATAGCTCACTTTTGACATCACTAAAACACTCAAATGTTCATCAAACACTGTCAGATTAAATGAAATCATCTGAACTGTCTCATCAAAGTGGGTTGTATTCCTGTATTAATTGTACACAAAACTCTATAAATAGAGCCCTATCCCTCTCATGAGAGGGGAGGAGAGCTTGAGGCTTGAGGCTTGAGGAAAAGTTTAAAGCTTTGAGAAGAAGCTGAAGTCTTGCATCACTCCTATTGTCGTTGAACCTCGTTCAAAACCGTCGAATACCACCAATCAACATCGACCACCGCCTACCACCATTTATTGACCGTCACCGATTGCTATCGATTATCTCCTGCTCCTTACAACAAGTTCATCCGCACGTTGACTTTATAATTCAGAAAACTTCGTAACTCTTTCCTGCCCATGGGATAAGAGGTCTATGTAATTATCCACTTATAGTGAATTTTTATAACTGGGTCAAGCAACATGATTTTTTCTCTTTTGAATTTTCTACTTAAAAACTTTTTATCTCTACTATTTATTTTCTTCTACCAGAATATGTGCAAATTTTTGTGCAAGACTTAATTTACTATATATATATATATATATGTAAACGCAAATCCCAATTAAAAAATTACCATAATTGAACCATGAGGTGGCCCTAGTTGAACTGTTGAAGGCTAGGGAATCGGAATTGAAGTAATTTCATAGGTTTTGTGTTCGGAGTGCGTAGTATCGTCGTCGGCAACATTGAACTTCGTCGAATTACCCCCTCCTCTCGCTTCTCAGAGGTCGCCTCTGGTTGATTGTTTTGATCATGGTGAGGGGAAAATTCAAGTCGAAGCCAACGGGTCGCAGGCTGTTTTCCACGCCGGAAGAGATGGGTAAGCATCTATCTCTCTACGGCCTTCTCTGCCTACTTCTGTTTTCTAGCGATAGTTTGATTACGGATTCGTTCTAGAATGGGATTCTGATCTATACTGTTAACTAGAATTTGAAATTGGGCTCTGGTTGTTTTTGAACCTCATATGATAAAATAGAGGATTTGTGGGTGGCTTGTGGTATTAGGGTGGCTAGAAATGATGGTTTTGCTTCTGAATTCTATTTACTAAGGAGCTGTGATACCCGAGTTAACCCAAAACACAGTAGAAATGCAAATCTTGTTGCTAAAATTCAATAGGAAGGGGGGTAGAATGGCTATAGCTGGAAATAGGGAGGGGGAATGGTAGGGTGGCTGACGACTGACGCAAGGAGGCACAGGTGGAAGGGCAAAGAGCAGGAGAGGGGATTTTATGGGGGATTAGATCGAGGCAGTCAACACCTCGGAGTAAGATAAATCCGGAGCACTATCAGCCCTCGGATAAAATCACAAAAAGGGAAAACACCTCACACCCAGAGGCAGGAACCTGAAATCAGAATAAACCAAAAACTAAGATAACAACACATATATTTATAATAGACGTATAGACGGGAAAACAGAGAAGAAGGGGCAAAATCTCCCGCCCAATGAAAAGGGGGAGCAGGGAGTCGGTCCAGCTTTCTGCGGCACCGAGAGCCTTGTTCCCATTGAACCGGCTAGGTTGCTGAACCAGTAGGTCAGAAACCCCCACCCCCCTACGGGGGTTGGGAGCTTTAATCTCATTCGTCAATGATTTTTGTCTACTCCTAGTAGTCAGGTCGATCATGTTGTATGCTCCTGATAAATCAATCATGTAGGCGACTTTGTTCAAAAGAACATCTTGATAGAATAGGCATCTATCATTTTTTGGCGCAATCTGAGTCGGAAGTACACAACAACGTAGGTTCTCCCGAGCAAAATATTGAACAAGTTAATATATAATATGCTTATTCTACTTCTTGTACTTGGGCTAGATGTATCTGATAAGCAAGGCTGTAGGCGGGTCAACCTGGAACGACGTCTCTAGCAGGTTGGACCACCCTGACATGTAACCCCTCATGAGAAGCATTTTCTTCTTCTGGAGAAGGATCTGGATCTTACGGTAGAATATTCTTTTTCCTAAAGATCTTGAGGGGATTCCCACCACTACGGTTCAGCCATCGTGTTTGATCCTCTATCAGGGGGTACACCATTGAGCCGATTTTAATCCCCAAATGACTCACAATTTTCTTCTAGAAGTAACTAATAATATTCTTATCTCTGACAAGTTGGACCTCCTTCTATAGGTGCCCAATTTAGGAGGTAAGTTATATATTTGAAATGCCTGAAATACTTTTATCTGAATTCACCAGTTTCTAGTATCAACTCCTCAAGCTCATCACCGATTTGTAAATCCAAAATCAGTCCCTCTGATGTTCTTCTCAACGTCTGCTAAACAGTTGGTTAAGGCACAACATTCTCATGAAATCACTACCTTATAGAACAACTACTGTTACCTTAGCTGAGATCTCTCTCATGGGATCAACTAAAATTGATAACATCTCTTCCTCGTTGACTGCAAGTTGAGAATCCTCCCTGAAGTCTTCATCTTCTTTCAGATCAACTGTGTTGTTGCCCAATTTTTCAACAACACCCTGCTCAGTGAAACAAATCATCCCTGGTTGTGCAGTCTGATTCAACATGTTGAAACTTGTGCACTTGCAACACTTCATATTGTAGCAGATTTAGGGATGTGGATTGGTTCCACATTTTCTCCTTATTGAATCAGCTTTTCTTCTGACAGGGTCGCCTTGGGTGTGCTTCTGGGTGTATTCTGACTGTATGATTATGAGGTTGAATTTTGCCTATATGCTATGTGGGTCGCTCGGTGATGTGGTCTCTCCACTTCTGAAGCTAGATTCTACACCATCTGTCTGTTGTATGCTGGTAGGAACTGACACTTTATCTTTTGCTTTATCTTCAGATTCTTGTTCTCCCCTTCGACTCTCCCGTTCATAGCAGGGTTACCTCCCATTAGATTTCATTCTCAATGTTTGCATGCCTCCATTGAAGTTGGCGGATCACTCGTTGTATCCACTCTCTGATAGACATGGGCTTGTATCTTCTAAGTGGCATGTTATGGTTTAAGGTTGAGAGGTAAAAGAAGGTAAAAATGATTGGTTTATGGTTGCTGATTTTAAAAATCAGCAGGGGAGATATAGAGTTAGGAAAATGTGGTAGTGGAGAGGGTATTTGGCGGTAGGAAAGAAATTTTTTTGGTTATAGCTGATGCTAGTAAACTCTAGGATAGAATTAGGTTAGACTAGCTTTGATACTAATTGATACTGGAGTTACCCAAACTACAATAAAAATTTAAATCTTATTGTTGAAATTCAATAGGTTACAACGATGACACTTCAAAAACATGAATTAAACAATAACAACATAAAAAGGCACCCTAGGGTGAGGACAATGGTGCTCGGTGGTGGTTGGATAGCAGGTGGAGGGGGTTGGAAGAGTTCGGTGGTAGTACTGAAAGGTAGGATTGAGGTTACAACAGTAATTGGGATTATTGTAAGGAGTTGCAACAACAACAACAAGGTGGGAGGGGGATTGCGAGAGGCTTTGGAGGGATGCGGGCAGAAGGGATTATGGTAAGGAGAGGGGGAGGAGGGAGGAGACAGGGAAGTTGCAGCTGGACAGAGTGTTGTACGTGGAGTTACAGGTTGAGGGGAAGGTTTGGTGAGATTGCTGGAGGTTTGGGCTAGGAACGGTTGCAAGTGGGGTTATGGAATGAATCCACGGTGACGACAGGAAGGGGGCAGGGGTGGCTTACAACAATCGGAGGAAGAGGGGTAGAATGATTAGCAACTGGAAATAGGGAGTGGGGACAGTAGGGTGGCTGAGTGTTGACAGTAGGGAGGAGGCGCAAGTAGAAGGGAGGGCAGCGAGCAGTAGAGGAGATTGCACGGGGGATTAAGTCGAGGTAGTCACCACCTTAGAAAAGGTAAAACCGGTGCACTTTCTGTCCTCGGATACAACCTTAACAAGGGAAAACGCCTGAAAGCAGGAACTTGAAAGAAAAATCAACGAAAAGCTAAACCCTACAACAAGAATACACATATTTATAATAGGCATATAGACGGGAAAACAAAAAATTAGGGGGAGATTCTTGCCCAATGAAAAAGGGTAGGAGGGGGTCGGTTCAGCCTTCTGCTAGACCGAGAGCCTTCTTTTTGTTGAACCGGTAGGGCCGGTTCAGCCCCAAGCCCCCTTGTCAAGATGTATGGTAAAGGGTTTATGTTACGCCTTCTCAGCACTTGCACGCGCTGGTCCACCCTGGACTGGCTAGAAGCAGTGGAACTGGCCTACAGATGGGCTTGTCTTGGCTACAAAAGAGGGGAACGGACAGAGAGAGCCGCGGAAGAGGGAAAGGAAAGGGTGGGCTCCACTTGGGCCATAATCACCTATGCAAGGAGGAGAAATTAAAGGAGTTTGGAGGGAAAGTTTGAATGGAAAGATTTTGAAATGCTGTGAGGGGATTCTATTAGAGGGGGAACTTAGGATTTACTTTTTTTATGCTTGTTTTTGTTTGACTGCTATTTTCTTCTTTGTGTGGTGTTTCTAATGACGTCTAGGGTATGGGAGAGACGATCTATCTCTCGAAAAGTAGTTCAATCTTGTATCTTGCTTATTTTCCTTTGATTTTCATAAGAGCAACCCTTGTTTGTGTTTCTTCCATCTATCTATTGTCGTTTCGTTGTGTTTTGTTCGTTGATTTTGGTATCAAGGCGTATCAAATTGGTATCATAGCATAGATCTTGGTGGGATGGCAACAAAGAAAGTTAATGTGCTAGAAAGAGAGGTAGAGCAATTCCGATTGGGAATGAAAGAAAGGCTTCCTACCATGGAGGATAGATTTTCTTCTATTGAAAGTTGAATGAATGATGGATTTGAAGGTATTGGAGAAATGTAGGAGATCTTGAAAAAGCTTATGGAGATGCAATCCAAAGTTGTGCCAACCGCTCCAGTTGCAAACTCTAATCAATGGTTGATCAGAGAATCCTTGTTAAGATCAAAGGGGAAGAAGATTGATCGAGAAAATAACGAAGAAGAAATCATCTACCTACAAGAACGTCCCCCTAGGACTTTGAGAGGAGGGGGAGTGGAGACTTCCGATGGAGGTGGATGGGCCGAAAATTGGAGAAGGGATAGTGGAAGGGGCACAGAAGAGTATGATGGAGGAAGGAGACAATCAGGAGTGGGATGTGCCTATAACCGCAAATCGCAGGAGGGGGTTTCACCCTAGATACATGGGAAATTTTGGAGAGAGAGGAAGTTGGGGTGGAGATGCAAGGGTCAGGAAATTGAATATGCCAATCTTCGAAGGGGAGAATGTGAATGGATGGGTGTATCAGGTGGAGTGATACTTTACAATCAACAGGTGGCAACGGGATTATGCTTGGAGGAGAAGGATTTAACGTGGCTCTAGTGGATGGAGGCAAGGTATCTAATGCATTCATAGGAGGAGTTTAATGATTACTCGTTTGAGCGTTCCCAAGCCATTCGGGAAGGAGACATGCATGAGCAATTCTATGCTTTGACTTAGGAAGGAATGATTATGAAATATCGGGAGAAGTTCGAGCTCTTGTCAAGAAGGTTGAGGGGGATTTTTGCTGCATATCTGGAAGAGAATATCTTGAAAGGCCTAAAGCCTGGCATACGAGCAACCATCCGCCCCTTGAGACCGTGAGGATTGAGAGAAATGATAGAGCTTGCCTAGATGATGGAGGATAAGAAATATGTGAAGAAGACCGACAAAGGCGACAGTATCGGAGGATTCTAGAAAAGCACCGTGATAGTCACGACACCGAGGACCTAGACAGTGTTATTTTAGAAAGAGACGCCAAAGAAGAAGAGTACAGGACCCCGACCCAGGGGTAATTTCAAGCGTCTTATAGATAAAGAAGTGCTGGACAAAAGAGTCAAATGATTGTATTAACGCTA